GAGAGAGAGAGAGAGAGAGAGAGAGAGAGAGAGAGAGAGCTGAAAAAGAAATAATTCATAGAGGGGAGAACGAACTATTGCTTGTGATCTGCGAATTTTATTATATATACGAGGCGAAATAAAATAAAAAATATAACATAATATATATATAATATAAAATAATATATATAATATATATTTATATTTATATATATTTATATATATATTCACCGTATCTCTCGTTTCTCTCTCTACGCATTCGTACAATATAATATATAATTTTCTCTATAAAATATAGAAAGTATTTGTGTTACAGAGATTTGTTCCTTCCTGCTGTAAATCTACGTACATCTACCTAGGGCGAGCTACGCTTCTCGGTTTAAATTAGTTTACGCGCGTCTAACGCAAACGCATCGCTTGGCGAGAAACGTTATTAAAAACAAGATGAAGAAGAAGAAAACATACATTGCACATCGAAAAACGGGGTCGACGATGACTGGGGAGGGAGGGGGCGAGGAGGGTGGATGATAATGATTCGGATGAGATATACGTATGTGAATTTATTTACATCGCTCCACGATGCGATATAGCGTCACTATATACATCGTTCGCCTTCACTGCGTCCAAGCGCGTCTTTTAAATCGTCATTTACACCGTTAACGTGGTCCTCACGAGCCAGCGTTCTAAATCATTATTCACGCCGCTGATGTAATCTTTGCAACAACGAATCGATGTTTGCCATTTCATATACTATAAAGAAAAGAAATCGAAAGCTATAGCAACAAATTTAACACGCAGCAACAACTTAATCAGCAATAAAAGTTGCGCTTAGACAATTCATGCGTCTGAAGACGTTAAAATTGCGAGAAATAGTTCCACGTCGTTTCATCATTGTAAATTTCGACGGCGTGTATAATTTACGCGCGAGACACATGAAATAACGACGTAGTATGTTATTCAGGCCGCTTTTTCGCTGCATTAAGGGGGATAACAGGTTCTCTCGCAGTGGCAGTATCTTTCAATGCGCGAAAACCCACGTGCGCCGTGTCCTCGCGAAATTAAAATTCGACCGAGTGCCGTAGATGGACGAACACGCGAAGTACCATAATATTCTTACGCAACGGTCCCGCTTCTTCTATGAGTATCACAATAATATCGTCTGAAGGAACGTTCGAAGCCCAACATTATATATAATACAAAATATACCTTCGCGTATACGTGCGATCGAGCGATATCTGCGCAATGTTAACATTAATGATCGTGAATGCAACGCGTCTGGAAACGAATTCCTCTTGCCCAAGATTTATTTACACACATTATGTCATACGCTTCCACGTTTCCCTCCAGTTCGTACTTCGGCCACTTTAACGAAGCGCAGCTTCATTTCGACGATAATACGCGACTAACGTACATACATCTCGTAGTTGTCACGGTGTCACTCGTGCGGCGAAAACTTCAACGATAGCGGCGCAAACGCAGAGTACAATAAAACGAATATGAAACGAGTACAAGATCGAGCATAAAACGGATATGAGATTAAGACTAACTTAGGGATGGCGACGCCGAGCAGGATGAGGGGCAAGGAGTAGGAGATACAGACTTAGCGAAATTAATAAGTACGAGCTATGTACATATGTACAACGATATAACAACTGGTCATTTTTCATTAAAATTATTTATAATTATCGATCATTTATTGTCATATCGCAGGAGTGCGGGAGGACCGAATGGGAAGAATGAGAAAGGAGGAAACTTCTTTGTGCGCGACTTTCTAAATTTACAATCTGGAAAATATGTTTCACGCCTGAGTCACGTTGTAATAACCTCGCGTGAAGTCGATAATTTCAGCGGTTGTCAATATACCAAACAAGTGCTACGAGTAAACCGTAAAATAATATTGTAGTGTAAAAACAATCGACATTTATACTCTTCATCTCGTAATGCATAGTTATAACGTAATAACAGTATATAACGTAAGTAATAGTGTGATTACTGTTAAAGTCGCGAGTTCTTCTTTCCCTTTTCTCCCCGTTCGTCCCTAGGATACTCTACGCGCTGTCTCGACCATTGCGAGGGATAATCTCAAAGGAGAGCTAACTTACCGGAAGTTATCCCGGAATCGAAAGGTCACGGTTACCGTTATCACATAAGAATCAAATCGTCCAGGTAAACTCTCAGTCTCGGGTGTTAGATCTACTTCCTGTCTAGCGTCATACGTCTCTTATATTGTTCCTAAGAATCTTTGTTCTAAGAATCGCCATCGTCGCGGTACACGCTCCATATGTTTCTCCGACCGGGAGAAATTCGGGAGAATTCTCGGGACATCGTTGAGCCGCGTTCTCGCAACTGTTTCACTTCAACGACATTCGATCACACGTGCACCGTTAGCACTTGATGTGGTCCCGACGTCTGGCTGGTACCTGGCTGCTGATGCGGATACGTCGGTTCCTGCAGTCTGGGCTTGCTGTAGGGCTTGTGCGCGCCTTCCTCGTAGCTGAAACTAGCCGTGTTGTTCCTGGCTTCAGCGCTAGGTGGTTTGTAGAGCGGCGGTAAACGATGTCTTCCTTCCTCGGACACCATCTCCAAACTCTCTTCAGTAGCGGTCAAACTGCCGAGCGAAGGACCTGACAACGGTCTCACGACCGACACTCTGGGTTCGCCAGAGTCCTGGTCTTTTAATGGATTCGCGTATCTCCTCAGGTTCTCCTCGTTCTGGAGATTATTCGACTTTTCGTCCAGATCGCTGCGATGACGGTGCAACGAAGTCTCGCTGCTGGTGGTTGCTGTCAGACTCGACCTATGCCTGACGGATTTGAGGTACCAAAGGCCACCGAACAGCACCAATACCAGTATTGCTGCCAATGCACCGCCAAGAACGGCTACATAGCTACCGACATTGTTCGCACCCGCTGAGCTGGGCTCGCTGAGCAAAGCCGTCTCCACTTTGACTTCCAAAACGGAGGCCAGAGCGAGAGGTCTTGCTAGGGGACGACTGAGCGCTTCACCAAGATCTCTTGCTGCAGCGGCTGCTGCTTCGGAGAAGATGGTCACTTCTATTGTGTCATTGTCACCAGGTTTCAAATCGCAAAGCAACACCACCGACTGTGGTCTACGCGGATCGGCGAGAAGCTTTCTTAGCCGACGACATAACAGTTCTACCGATGTACCGGCAGCCAGAGTGTCCCTCCTCAGCAGTATCGTGAGTCTCGAACAAGTTGGCCCAGGTGTGGACTGACCAGGCCAACAAGATGGAGGAGCTGGTAACGCTGGCGGTCCCACTCTCCTGCCGGTTTCGATGGGTCGACACTCACCCCATGCCGGACATGGCGGTGCCAAGCAGCTTTCGCCTGGGCTAGGAACGCATACCTCGTGGGCTAAACAGGAAGTGCCATTGAGGCAGTTACCCGGACCACACCAGACGTTGCTACACTGATTCTTGCCGTTTCGACACTCGCACACGTTGCAATCGTCTTCCCACGTGGCAGCCATGCAGCCAGGTCCACCAGCGGTCCTGATTTCGCATCGAATGCCGGTTCTGCCAGGTGGGCAGATGCAGGAGTAACTCGCGATACCATCCACGCAGGTAGATCCGCCCGTGCACGGGTCGCTCGCGCATTCATTCACGTTGATACGGCAGTCCGGGCCAGTAAAGCCTGGTGCGCACTCGCATCTGAACCAATTGACACCGTCAACGCATTTACCGCCGTTCAAGCACGGCAGTGGTTGACAATCATCGACATCACGCCGACAATTTGGCCCTTCGAAGCCCTCTCGACAAACGCAACGATAGTTGCCGTCCGCGGTGTTTACGCAAGTAGCTCCGTTCTCGCAAGGACTGCTCGTGCACGCCGGCGACGCGATATGGCAAGCTGCGCCCTCCCATCCGGGTGGACAGTGACATGTGAAGCCATCACCGCGATCCTGACAGGTGCCACCGTTTCGACAAGTGCCAGGCTCGCAATGGCCGCCGCGCAATGCGCAAGTCTTGCCTTTCCAGCCACCGCGGCAGATACACGTGAAGTCCGCCACGCCATCCACGCAGGTACCGTTATTGCGACAAGGTTGCGTCATACACTCGTCCACATCTGGAAGAGAATATTATCCTTTTAATATGTAAAACAGATCTTTGTCGTTTCGTCATCTCTGTTAAGCTACCTAAATCGAATACGAATTATGTTAGAATTAAGCGAATTACTAATTTAACGTTGGGGCATTTACGATTTTACTAATCTAGCAAGAATTTACGTTTTGAAAGTGGAGGTGTTAATTTACATGTTAACGTCTCACAAGATGGTTACAGCATAATGTTAACACCAGATTTTGGTGCTAACATTATCGTTGAAAAACTATCTCTAATAACAGCTTTTTAAATAACAAGATATTACTATCCATTTTCAAATGTAAACTCCTGCTAAACTGATAATACTGTTCGAGTATTATCGATATAAATCGAGAGTGTAACACTAAATTAGTATCTAATTCTTAATTCTAATATAGCTTCCATTAAAATTTTTCACGTTGAGGACTATTATCTTAACTTAGATTGTTGCGTCAAATATCAAAGATGGCAGTCCACTTACCTTGATCACAAAGATCACCGCTCCAGCCTTCCCTGCAGATACACTGGAAGGAGTTCACTAGGTCGACGCAAGTACCACCGTTTAGACAGGGGTTACTGTGACAGTCGTTGATGTTCTCGTGGCAATGTATGCCGGTGTAACCCGGATCGCAGGTGCATTTGCCGCCGCTGCAACGACCTCGACCGCCGCATGGCGTGCCTTCGCTGCCGCAGCCGAACTGCTCGTCCGTCACGCCAAACTGGGGGTTGTGCGGGGCCGGTTCCGAGCAGTTCTTACCTTGCCACTGTTCCGGACAGTGACAGTAGTAGTCGGTCTGCGTTTTGTAGCACGGCGCCGAGTTGCGGCACGGATTCGGGCTGCAATGGTCGCGATCGATTTCACACTGGTAGCCGGTGAAGCCAACCGGACACACACACTCGTATGCGTTCACCAGGTCCCGACACTCGCCGCCATTCTGACACGGCTTGGACGCGCACTCGTCGATGTCGACGTCGCAATCCTTGCCGGAATAGCCGGCGGTGCAGCTGCAATGGTAGTCGTTCACCAGGTCAATGCAAAGCGCGCCATGTTGACACTGACCGACACAGTCATCGATATTCTTCGTGCAATTCTTCCCCGTGAAGCCACTCCGGCATCGGCAGCTGCGAACACCGAAATCATAAGTAACTTACCGAGATGAGATCATAGGTAACTTCATTATCAAACTTAATTTCGTTAGCAAGTTTAGTGAAAAGAAAGCAATTTGTGAGGAAAGCGGCGTTATATACTAATAACTTTGTTAAACTGCAACAAGCAATTTTAACAAGCAACTGTGTTAAATTGCCGGCATTATAAAAAGTAAGCAAATGACAGCGGATACCAACTTGTAGTCGCCAGCCAAGTTGATGCAGGTGAGAGAGTTCTTGCAGGGCGGTTCCTTGAGCGTACACTCGTCCACATCGAACTGGCAGAGTATTCCTTGCCAGGCGGGTGGGCAGTTACACACGAAACCGTTCTTGCCGTCCACGCAGGTGCCATTGTTCTGACAGGGTTGCGAGGCACACTCGTCGATATCGGTCGCGCAGTTCAGCCCGGTGAAACCCGGAGCGCACACGCACTGCGCCGTCTCCCCGTGCTCATGGCAGGTCGCTCCGTTCAGACAGGGGTTGGTTGCGCATGGGTTGTCGATCTTCTCGCAGGTGGGCCCGGAGAAGCCGTCCGGACATGTGCACAGATAGTGATCCGGCGCGGTATTTTGGCACGTGCCGCCGTTTTGGCACGGCTCGTGGGTGCCACAGTAGTTGAGGTCTTGGTCACAGAGTATGCCGCCCCAGTTGGTGTCGCAGATGCATTGCCAGCTCGAGCCGTTGCAGTAGCCGTGTTTGCAGCCCGGATAGGGCGTGCACTGGTCGCACAGGTCGCCGCGCCACCCGTGCCGGCACTTGCATTCGTAGCTGACCTCGCAGTAGCCGTGAACCGGGTGGCAGCCCTTCTTGCAGACGGCTGGACAAGTTTTTAGGATATTCTCGTTGTTATTTAATCTCGTTAATTTAAAAAAAAATAAAATAAATTAAACTTGCATTGCAAAAATTCTGCAAAGTTAATGAAGTTAATAACAAGGACACAGATGTTACCGTTAACACAATGGTTACTGATAATAAATTATTAATATTTTTCTCTTGCGGTTTTCGTTCGTGCATCGATTTTCATAAGTGCGATGCAGAAAATGCATATACAACTGTGTTACGACGATCTATATTACTTCGTGTTACACACCGTCGAGATTCAACGATAAGTCACGTTACGCAAGCATCGACGCGAGGTACGTCGATGCAGTGAGAGAGCGTGTGTCCGCATGGAATTCGCTCGGGATGTCTCGGGACATTTGAATGATGACGTGAACGGATTAACCGACCCTCTTATCCGTCTTCCGTGCATGCGACACGTAATAGCCATTGAGTCGGGCAAACGTAATTAGCGCGGAGATGTGTAATGAACGAGGCACGAGCGCACGCGTCGCCGCTGAGAGACGAACGCGGAAGAAGACACGCGCTCGCGCGATATGCTTTCTATGAATTTTTAGTTAAGATCAGACATAACCATCGGACGTCCCACGGTGTGACGCATTGAAGGAGTAACCGAAGCAACAAGTAAAACGCCGTCTCAGTACAGGTGGTTGGAGGATGAAATCGAATTTCATGCGACCAAGGTATCGTACCTCTGGAAACAACAACGACGACGACGACGACGACGACGACGACGGTGAACGTTGGGGAAAAAGACGTCGATGACGATGACGATGACGATGACGACTCGATTTCTCTTGCCTCCTTCGTCCACCCCGGCCAGATGAAAAAAGGAAAGACAGGAAGGGACGAACGTGACGGAGATCTCGCCAGGACCGGGCAACTCAATTAGCCGGTGGGACAGAAAGACAGATGAGAAGTGACAGAGAGAAGGATTATCCCCCCGACCATGAAACGAAAACTCATGCCGCGCTCGCGACACGCGTGTTTGTACCTATCCTTTCGGGGTTTGTGCCGGTCGTGTTGCGCACCAACACTTTTACCGTTACGTCGCGTATGTACCACGCCGTCGTATGTACACGCAATTATTGTGCATTTGCGCGTGTACACATATATACGGTGCGTGCGCGTGTATACCGCCCGCGGCATTCTTAATGATTAATAGCTCCGTTGCTTTCTCTCTTTCTCTCTGTTTCTCTGTCCCTTTATCTTTCCTTCTTTTTCTTTCCTCCCTCTTTTGTTTTCTCATACATACATGAACAAACGGACATTTACGGGTATTTACGACCGCACCTCGCACATGATACTTCGGGGCCTCCTAAATGACGACGCATTCGCGACAGGCTTTTCTTGCCATGGTCACACGTTGTATATATGCCTCGCCATAGCTGATGTCTTCCTCGTCATTCTCGGACGATCGAGCCAATCAGCCGTTCCCCGGTGCTTTTACTACGATCCTACGAAGAGAGATCCTCGCCGCAGCATCGACTGCTGCGGCGGCCCTTTCGCCGTTTAGAAACTATAAATCCGCCGGGCTCAAACGAACGCGCTTGCTACTCATGCCTACGGGCCGTGGTTGATTAATACGCCGGCAGTAGGTAAATTAACTTGCGCAATTCGCCTTTGCGAAGCCTATCCCGGCGACTTTTTCCCGCGTCCTCCTCGCGATCCTTTTTGCGCGACGACGGGACAGCTGCGCGAAGAGGCGGATTGCGGGACGGCGGTTTTGCGATTTTTCGCGCGAAAACACCTTGAAGCCTCGCCACTTTGTGCGAGCGTGCGTGCGTGCGTGCGTGCGTGCGTGCACGATTACGGCGTGGTTGCGTCATTCGACGCGGAAGCGTTTTCCGGGAAAATTTACGCTCCGCGGTCGCGTCGGCTGCACGAAAAATTCTGCGATTCGTCGGTAACCCGCGCGTCGAGTCTTCGTGACGCGGCTCCCCCCTGTGAGAGTGTAATTATGGTTTCATTGCTCGCGCAAGATGAAAATTTATTTCGACGAGAAATAACGTGGTCTAGTGCGTTATTAATTTCATGTAGAATTTCCCGCGAAGCGAGCTTCTCGGACAACATAGGGATTCGATTTCTTCTTGATGGAATTCGGAGAGAAAGAAAATCTAAAAAATAGTGAATTTTCTGTCACGGGTACTATAACATATTTACTTAATTCTAAGTTCCTTTATATAAATAGAATAAACAATTGCTTTTGTGAAAAGTTAAGATTTGAAAAAAATGTATATTTTTTTTAATTTGAGAAATATTTTACTTCAATATAAATAAATAAAAATATCTACTATTTTTTAGATACTTTTTCTCTCAGTATATTGAGATAAAAGTACCAACATCTGGATTGTCATAATTGGGATCTAACTCTAGATATTCTTATTGTTTTGGTCTCTAAATACGATGATTTAAACTTTTGACATAGAATATATGTATATATTCAATATTAATTCTACATTAAAAGTCTAAACATTGGCACTTTTACCTTACTCGTCGCGACTGAAAAAACAAATTTTGCAGCATCTTCACAAAGGAGTTGTTTTTTTTCACAAATTAGTACTCAATGATATATCATTTTAATTGTCATTGTATCGACTTATAGAAGTTTCAGAAGATTGTGCGCAAATTTAGTGCGACGAAGCGTTCGTTGAACCTGCGAGATCCTTTCGTGGCTGCCAGATGTTAGAGGAATACTAGCGCTGGTGTATGTATGTATGCATGTATGCGCTTTAGCCCGCAGAGATTTTACCTTCTCGCGCTGCGCGACCAGGTTGGCGCATCGTGTGAAGAGGATGCACGAGTGAAATTCTCCTATTGACCTTTCACAAGCGCGACAAAAATGTCGGAGCCAGTTCTCTCCTTCTCGTAAGCGAACGCGACTCATCGCCTCACGAGCACGCGATCTCCGCCGATAGTCTCTCTAATTGGGGTTTGCGCATTTTTCCCGTCGTCTAAGTAGAACGTGCTCAAAACTCGATAACTCGATCTTTCTGCATCGTCGGATGGGAGAGACTTTCCTGTTCTTTTTTCCTTCGTGCCGCGTGTCAAGACGATCGTGTCTGTCGGCGCGATCACGAAATCTGCTAAGTTCGCAAACGAAAACGCAGTGATGCGAACGCATGCGTCTAATGCGCCAGACGAGGCGGATTGTCAATCCGTTTTTGAGACGATCGGTCGGTTATCAAACGGTGAAACCTTAAAGTTCACAGTGCCAAGGAAAACGAGCAGCCTCGTCGCGAAGCAGCCGCGTGTTATTTGAATTCCATTGGCATAATATCACGAGCGTGGCGGACTGTGAAACGCGAATGTACCTTGTGCAAGCGAATTGTTATTTCAGTATTCGAAACAGCAACGAAAGGGCTTCGATCTTCTTTTTCTTCTCCCTATCGATTGATCCCTACTCTTCCGTCTCATTATTTTTATTTATATATTACACGTTCCATTATTAAGGCAAGTGATAATTCGATAATACGACTTATATCTCTGATTCGTATCCTTCAATTCGCGGTATTTCGGTCATGAGGAGCCTTGGTATTTCAAGGACATTTAAGATATTCAAGGTATTTTTCGTACATTTTATTTCGAGGAAAATAATATAGAGAATACCAGCACGCGTATCAAGATTGATATAAACAGATTTCTGTGGATTAATATTTCGATTTTTACGAAAATATTAAGACCCTTAATATTTTCTCTGAATACTCTTTTATCGATAAAAGTATTTCTAAAAATGATTCATAAATCTTCTAATTGACTACACCACTTTTAACGGCACTTTTAGAGACACGATCTCAAGTATTCTCTTCTACAAATATCTTTTTATTTAAAAAATAGCATGCAATAATTTTCAGCGTGTCATTTCTCGTCCCTGACGTGATGATTCCACATGACCGCGGTGAGTATCTGGGGTAGCGATTATGTAACTTTCTTTTTTAAATAAAAACATGAAAATTCATGTGAACTTTACACATTGACAACTTTAACGATCACTTCTCGAAAGCAATGAAAATATGAATATTTTCATAGGAAATGGTTCACTTTTCACGAGTTCACGTTAGAAGAAAAGATGTGTGATCGATACGGAGGTGCCGTGAGACCGCAATCAACTAGTATCAAGAGACAAGGTCTGTCTTTGGTTAAAGGGTTAATGCGAAAAGTGGGACTTACGTGTCTATCTAACGGCCCGAATCTCCAGACGAACGCGGCCGGTCCCGACCTCCTCGCACGTCCCGTCAGTCGGTCCGTTTGAGATCGACCTTATGCGCATTGTGCCCCGAGTGTTGCAATGGGGAGGGATGACAGTAACCACACGTGGGGTCACGGAGAGGCGGAAGTAACGATTAAGCAGCGAAGAAAGAGCTGTTATATTAGTCGGCGCAGCATTGTGCGACGGGACCTGGCGTGATGTGTCGCTACCTTTGTGCGATCGTACGACATGCGTCTAACGTCCGCCCATTGAGGCACGCTTCGAGATAATTCGCGTGTTTTACGATCCGTACGGGACCACGGAGGGCGACGGAGGCGACGGCGAAGAGGCGGTGTGTGGAGGAGGCGGCGGCGGCGGCGGCGGCGCTCGATCATCTTTTGATCCGTCGTGGCGTTCCTGCGCGTTAAATCGCGGACGTGACGGAATCGTTCGTCGCAGCGTGCCCGGAGGCACGAGAATCCGGAACGGCGAAAAGAGAGATGGAAATCGCGAACGTGGGTAGCAGCTCGACCCTTCGACCCTTCCGTTGTCGCTCGTCTTTCTTGAGCCCACTGTCTGTTTCCGCGTTCGGAGTCTATCTTTCATATTCATTCAAGTCTTGCGCGAAATATTTTGGTATATTTCGCAATCAGTGAAACACACCTATAGTTCCCCGCACATAAATTGGCTTTGGAGGATGTATTGCCTGCCTCAAAAATGAGGAGAAATTCTCGAAAACATTACAGATTAATCTACATTGCGTCTAAAAGTGATCACAAACGATTTGAGACTGATTCAGAGTCTGTATCAAAAGTTATTCCATTTTGAATTGTAAGTTCATCAAACACTATGACGTCATATAACGTTATATTGTTACTTGGAACTATTTTAATTCATGTTGTTACGGGAATATATAATTGATATCTTTAAGTAAAGAGAAAGATAATTAAAAAATAATAGCAAGAATCTCAATTTTTGTACATATGTACTTTAAGTATTCAAAAGATATAAAGTTTCATTGCGAATCAATAGACTATAAAAGAGCATGATGTCGTGAAGTATAAAAATATCTTTTGTTATTTAATTGTATCATATATACACACTATACGGAAAACAAATATTAATGTGTTTCTAATCTTCAGTGACACTTTGTAGGCATCATGCACTACATACTTGAAGTCTTTATAAACAATATTGTGCCATTTTTCAGAGCTTCCCACAAGAAGTGGAAAAATATAATATATTATATTTTTTAGGATGTGACTTTGTGTACAAGGACCCCTCAATGAGGGACTGTACATCTAATTTTAAGAGAAAAAAGAAAGAAAGGATGAACATACACTACAATTGGGCAAAACTGAAATTGGAAAAATGTAAATCGTCGACGATGAATGTTGATTTTGCATATTTCGCGTGGACATTGCGAAAGTAAGGCGTAAGATAAACCTTGTTCGTCGACGCTGGACGCGAACCGGATTTTTTTTGTTCTTCTCTTCGGAAATTATCGGGAGTCTCGCGGCGAACGACGGCGATTATTAATAGCCCGGTAATCGAATCGCGAGGCCTCGTTAGGCCCGGAGGTGCGTGCGCGTCTCGTGAGAAATCGAGTTAAACGACATCCATGGGTATGGTCGGTACTTGCGAGATTTCACGCTCCAACGAACGAACGAGGTGGTTGTTCCTTCGGCGCGGTGGAAAAATCGGCGAACCTCCTTCCGCGATCGATATCGACGATATCGTTCTTGCGCGCGGCACGCTTTCCGGCGTGCGTAACGAGATGATAACAATGACGAGAAAGGAGAGGCTTGCACCGCGATAAGCTCCGTGTCCATCTCGAACAAGTTCTCCTGGATAAGGAAACTCTATAGAGCGAGCTCGTTAGCCGTGCGAATTCTCTTGATCAGACTCTTGATTGTGCAGCCGATAAAAGAAAGGTTGCAGCACTTTTACTTCGATAAGTTTCGCAAGGCACATCGCTTCTAATAAAAGAATTTGTTTCTCAGTAATCCTCACACGGAAAAACAAGTTTGGCGGAACTGAACAAACATATTTCAGTTGAAGGAAACAGAATTTCTGGTTTTTACGAGCCAAATTCGATTCTAAGAACTAGAGATTCCGTTTTTTTTTGTTTGTTTATTGTCAGATTAATTACCAACCGTGATAAACGCGCATAATTAATAATAAGGGAATGCTGGAGTCGCAACGATGAACAAAAAGTCAGTAATGTAGAGAGGATCGTCACTAACAGAACCATGCTATTTTTTTCCATGTAGAAGATACATTTTCTTACGAAGTATTTTCGAAGTGCTTCGAGGTTCACCGAGATAAAAGTGTTGCAACCTTTCGTCCAGCAACCATACAAAGAGCGCGTAGTTCTTTCTTCGTCAGAAGAAGAAGAAGGAGGAGTAGACGGAGATGATTCATGAAATGGAGGAAGATGTGCATTGGCTCAAAAATCACGATACGATACGATGCGATAAGAAGTGTGTATGCGCGTGTGACGTAACGTTTCGATGAAAGCAATTTATTCGCGAGATCGTTCTTTCTGTAGGAGAACGACGGGGAGGAAGCGTCGAGGTATATGTTCGCGCGAATTTCTTTTTTACGCGCCATGTTACGCAACGTGTTATAATTAATAGCACTCATGGTTACGCGCGGTGGTAGCGGTACCTCGGGATTAATCGGTGATAATTCATTCTAAGTCGATGCGCACCTGCAGCCTCTAATATTGAAATACGCTAAGGGCTTCTCGGTACTTCGACTTCTCGAATCGCGCGCAATTGCATTCCCGCGTAGTCGTTCAGGAAAGGAAGGATTACCGTCTGCGCAGAATGCGTGACGAAAAATTGTTTGCAAGCTTAGAAAAGGATGCCGCAAAGGAAAAACTCTCGGCACAATTCTTTCGAACATGACGTCTCAGAGGTATCGAGTATTTTTACACAAAAAGAATAATATTTCTTTTTCTTTTTTCATATAAATTCTTTGCAACTTTACTATGTTTCCCTAGATATGCAAAACAGACTGTCAGTATTATATTTATTTATATATAGCAAGTACTATAACAAAACATATTTATTAAGTAAAGTACTAAAACATATTTATATTTATAATAATACGAAATATTTTTCAAATAAGGAAGTAGATATTTTCTCAAAAGCTTTTTATAAAAGCTGTTTGTTATATTTAAATAAAAGAATTTAGATTTAAGTAAATATGTTATATACTAATACTCACAATCAAATAAATATTTTTTATTTTTTAAATACTTTTTCTCTCATAGTATGAGGTCTATTTTGCTAAGAAACAAGATATTTGTTCCTTAAAAATTTTGCTAGAAGAAGCAAAATTTTTAATAGCACATTTCAGTTCTTAAAATATAAGCAGTATATATGGAATGAGGAGATAATCTGTTACTGCAGAATATGTCGATTTGTTATTACATCTATCATTCCTCGGTTATGTGTACAAAATTCCATAGTAATTTTTATTATAAAATTCTCTTCGTGTAATGCACTCGCAGTGGTAAGATAATTACGTGCTCGACATGATGGATTGAATTTTGACTCACCCGTGTTGCACTCGTTGCCCGTCCATCCATCGTTGCACACCTTGTCGCCGTCTTCGCTGCAGTTGTAATGACCGAAAACGTCGTCTCTGCTCCTGCAGAACTTGGTGCAGGTAGCGTTGTAGTAATGTTCGTCGCACTGGACACGTATCCGATACGCTAAGTGAGCGTTTCTACCTTGATGATTGAGGGTGTGCCATGTGGACTCGGGCAGGACGATACCACTGTAACTCGTTTCCTCGATCACGCCGGCGCTCGGCACGTCCCTCGCTTGCAGAATCAACGTGAATTGCCTCTGCAATGAGAAATGTATTTCCAAAAATTATCTTCCAAGAATCACTATGATAGGACCGACTTGTTATAATAAATTCATATAATAACTTGATTTTAAACGATAGCCTGTAAAGAGAAAAGTTATATAATGTGTGAAATCAGGTTGAATTTCGTTTTGTCGCTTCAACTTGTATTCTTTTCAACTAACCCTTGAATCCTAAATGTCAAAAAGTTACGCAAATCCTAAATATGGGAAAAATTTTATTCAGTGTATTTTTATTTGCTCATAACTTCCGTAAAAATGATCAAAATTCAAAGAATGACAACGTTCGAGAAGTTGGTCTGGGTAAATTTTATTCATGTTTAGAGTTCTAGTGTGTTAATTTTATTTCTAATCAGTAGAATACTCGAATAAATCTTTACGTCAAGGAGATACACGTAACATAAAACCACGAAAGCCCGAAGTAAAATCATCGGCATCACACGGAGGAACCGTCCGGACCGGCGTTCGTAATCCGACATCATCGTGACGCAACGGAGTCGGATTAAATACAGAACGGTGATGTCACGGGCGACAAGGGCTCGTTTGAAAGAGGAAGGGAGGTGGTTTGATGAAGGCAGCAATTAACCCTTGCCCAGCTTGAATAATTCCTCGCCGGGCATGGTCCTAAGTGGGACCCTCGGAGCTGGTACTTTTGCAAATTTATACAGCGTCCGCTGACCTTCCGGGGCGGTTGAAATTATACGATAGTGTAGGGTTACCAATTTTTTTCAGACGTTTATGTAACCGGGAGAGTTACATGAAAGCGCATCCGCCGTGGATAAGTACGCGCGAGCGCGAACGCAGAGGAACAACTTCCACTGTAAACGGCAGGCTGTAAACATACGCGTCGATCCTGGCGCGATAAATCCGATAATGGGAAACAAGACGAATGTACAATGTCGCAACTGTCGCGTCTCTGCTACCTTCCTCGTTTACCGGTGCAGGACGTGTCACGTAAATTATCTCGTTATCGTTTTCTCAAATTACAGCGTAATTCATATACGTGCGCCATCTCGCGCGGTTGAACTCGACGAGAGAGAGAGGGGGAGGGAGGGAGAGGGGAGAGAGAGAGAGAGAGAGAGAGAGAGAGAGAGAGAGAGAGAGAGAGAGA